CCCCCCCCCCCCAAAGAAAGACCTCGGCCACTGACGTTGCCGCGTCCTCCTCCTGTCTTGTGGGCAGGCTTTCACGGAGGTTGTTGAACAGCACGCGTTCTTGGACGTGCAGTTCTGCGTGGGGCAGGCGTTCGGGGAGTCGTGGGCGTGCAAGCGCGCGCGCATCAAGGCCGCGTCGGCGCTGGGGTCGCAGGCCGGGTGGGACTTAGTGAGCATCATCGTCAAGAGCAACGACGACATGCGGCAAGAGGTAGGCACGCGCGAGGCAGCAGCCTCCCGGAAAAAGTTGTATTTACGTCTTCGTAACTGCTTCGCTCGGTCGTGGTCGTCTCTTCCCGTTAACTGCTGGGTGTTACGACGACATGCGGCAATAGGTAACGCGTGAGGCAACAGCCTCCCGGAGGAAAAACCGAAATCGTTCTGCTTGCCTTAGTGGTGGCCGTCTACTTCTCCTGTGGTTTTCTGTTCCCGTCTCCGCCGTCTCTGTTCGCAGGAACGATGGGCTGGCGTTACACGCTGCCATTCCGCTGTGCTGCCTTTGTATCGCGCCCTCTTGCGGCACTAAGGTTCGAAGCTTAGTCCGACGTTCGAGGATGCCGTCCTTTTGAAATTTGACGTTTCTGCGCCCCAGCCATCGTCAAGAAAGCCTTTCATTCCAGGCGGTTTTTTGTCCTTACGAGACACTGGTCCGTTGCGTGTTGCGCACATGCCCGCGGTGCTCCAAATTTTTTTGTTGTTGCTTGTGCGTGCAGGTCTGCGCGCTCCAGCTGATAGGCCTGTGCCAGAGAATATTTGCGGAGGCGCGGTTGGATCTCTTCCTGGAGCCGTACGTCATCGTGTCCACGGGGTCATCGTCAGGCCTCGTGCAGTGCCTCGCCGACGCCATGAGGTGAAGCAATGGGCATCCGCATGCATGAAGGCATAACGCCTTTCCGTCGTTCGACCAACGTTGCTTTCCCTCTCCGTGTTCTTGAATGGTGAATGGTGGGCGTTTGCATGTATGCATGCACACACGCCACGTTACCTTTAGTCCTCTGCTGAAACGACGGTTGCGGTCTTCTTGTGTTTGAGCGCCGTGTCGATGAGGCTAAGGACGAACAAGAAGTCGGCCCCCCCGCCGTTAAACCGCAGGCCAGTTTTTTTTTTTTATTGAGCGTCTTGTTCGCGGAGAGGCGAGTTAACCCTTCGTTTCCTGGTGGCTGTCGACTGTGTCGTGGCAGCATTGACGCGCTCAAGAAGAATGCTGGCTTTGTCACCCTCCGCGACCACTTCGAGAGGACGTACGGCGACCCTGCGTCGAGCCGGTTTCTGGAGGCTCAGCGTAACTTCGTCAACAGCCTTGCGGCGTACTCGCTGGCGTCGTACGTGCTCCAGATCAAGGACCGACATAACGGCAACGTAAGCATAGCGTAAGAGCGCAGGCCGTTGTTGTTGATGATTATGAAGGTATCGTCATGCGGCTTTGATTAGCGCGTATTTGGTGTTTGGTAGGGCGTGATGTCTTTGTGTGTGTGTGAGAGCGAGAAGAGAGGGCTGAGGCTATGGCGGTTGTTGTTGATGGGGATGTGATGAGGTTTTGATGCGCACGTTTGTGGTGGTTGGTAGGACGAGGCCTTTTGGTGTGTGAGAGAGGGAGAATAAGAGAGAGGAGCATGAGAGAGAGGAGCATGAGAGAGAGGAGCATGAGAGAGAGGAGCATGAGAGAGAGGAGCATGAGAGAGAGGAGCATGAGAGAGAGGAGCATGAGAGAGAGGAGCATGAGAGAGAGGAGCATGAGAGAGAGGAGCATGAGAGAGAGGAGCATGAGAGAGAGGAGCATGAGAGAGATAGAGAGGGGGTGGGGGGAGATGGAGGGAGAGATAATGCTTCTTGTCGCACCGTCTCTCGGGCTAGCTAGCGGACACGTCGATCGCTTGGCGGTCTTGCGCTCCCGGTCTAGATTAGGACCGGCGGTTGCATCTACGGATGGCGAAGCTTGCTCTCGCTGAAAACGGTACTGTAGCGCTGGTTCGAGTTGCCTCGCTCCACCAGGAAGGTACTTTTACCTGTGTGGCTACGCGTTTTGGTGGTCCTGTCGCTTGCCACTGCGACGCCGCCCCCAGGATAACACATAGCCTCAAAGAAAGAAGATCATCACGTACCCCTACAAGCACCGAGGCCATGCTGAACATGCCCCCTTATCGGCGGCAATGCTCCGTACGTGGCCCTACAACAGATCCTTCTTGACACGGAGGGACGCCTGATCCACATCGACTTCGGTTTCATCCTCGGCATGGCGCCGGGCGGGAACTTCGCTCTTGAAAACTGCCCGTTCAAGCTACCCACGGAGTACGTGGACGTTATGGGCGGGTTAGAGTCGCAGGTAAGGACTGCTTGGTCGGTGTTGCCGTGCGTGCTGTGAGACAAGAAGAATGCTCGATGTGCCGATTCTGAGAAAGAATACGCCTCGTGTCACAATTGTCAGTCCATCGATCGGTCGAAATGGCTGCAAGAGGTATGGATGTGCAAGGGAGGTGTCAAAGCGAAGGATGGGGTAGGGGTGTGGTGGGTGTTTGTCGCGTTTCGGCTGGTGAGGTTTCGTACGTTGGGAAATATGCCCGGCCGTCAAGCCACCTCAGTTCTGGCATCGACAGGGTGCGATGCCGATGGCCCGGCGGTAGGACATGCCCTTTCGTCGTTTCTGCCCTCCTCGTCCGTGTCAGCTCTGCTCCTGCATTGTAGGGATGCGAGGTCTATGGTCTCACGACTACGGCACACGCGACTATGAGTACACACACCCCCCCTCCGTGTCAGTTCCGTCCCTGCATTGTAGGGATGCGAGGATTACAGTCTACCGGCTACGGCATGGGTTTTCATGAAGACACCCACACCTTTGTGTCATCACCGACCACTCCGAAGTCGTCGTCCGTCGACAAGGCTCATGAACCCCTGGGACAGGCGTTGCATCGCTCTCCCTCCAGCCACGGCTCTTGACCTGCAACCCCCGTACCCACACACCTACACCCGGCTTTGTGGGGATGCGAGGTCAATGGTCTCAAGATTACGGCATTCACCGCTGTGAGTACCCCGCCCGAACCACGCCCTCCCCCCCCCCCCCCCCC